TGAAACATGTTCCCCTGGCAGCTGTGTGGAGAACGGATGGTGGGATGGGAGACAAGAGTGGACACCGGGATGCCGGCGAGGAGGCTACTGCACCAGTCCAGGCGAGGGAAGAGATGGCAGTGCCGGAGAGGCAGAGGCGCTGTCCAGTGATGCTGTTTTGAAGGCAGTGCTGACAGCGTTTGCTGATGGCTCATGTGAAGGATGAGACAGAAAAGAGTCAAGGATGATTCAGAAGCACCTGGAAAAAGACAATTGCCCTGAACGAAGCTTTATAAGGAGAGTGTGGGAAGAGGAGAGGAAGTGTATCAGAGGAGGGAGGCTCAGTTTTTGGTGTGAAGATGTCCCCAGTGAAGACGTCAAAGTGTCAGCTGGAGGCTGAAGTCTAGCATTCAAGAGCGAGGTCTCGGCTCGAAATGAATCTGGAAACGGATCGTGTTCAGGTTAGGAGAGTTCTCTCAGAAAGTCACTGAACGACGCCTGGGCCACCCAGCAGATGGTGGGGAGGTGAGGAGGGTCGGGGAGGGGTGTTGAGATGCAGCGGCTTGTGGGCAGCAGGAAAGAGCACTGGGACTACCGCGGGCCAGAAGCCGCATGCGAAAAGGCTCCTCAGGAGGGAGCAGTCCGCGACTTGGCTTTTTTTAAAATCAGAAAATACAGCTTATTTAGAAAGTAAATGAGAGAGGAGGGATGGACCTCCCCGAGGGAGGGGAGGGGGCCAAAGCCAGGAAACATGGCTCAAAGAGCACAGGGCCACACCAGAGTCTAGCGAGGCAATGGCCGCCATGGCCTGGCAACGCCACGGCGTTTCAAACAAGCACATGTATAGGTGCGTGGACCGGCCAGGGCACGCCGTAAACAGGACCTGCCGTGAACTGATCAGTGCTGAGCCTAAGGGGGAGTTTATGCTACTGTTTTCTTTACTTTTGTGTGTATTTAAATTTCCCATTAAAAATGGTTTTGAGAGAGACAGACAGAGAGAGAGAGAGAGAGAGAGAGAGAGAGAGAGAGAAATGGTATCAAATACTGCCGCAAGGTTAATTAGGGCAGTGGACTTCCCCCTGGAGAGGGCGCTGGCGAGGGTGGCGAGAACAGTCTTGGTGGAGATGAAGGCCTGATGGTGGCGGGTTTGAGAGAGGTCAGGAGGAGAGGGCGAGGAGTGCAGAGTACAGTCAACTCCTTCACGGAACTCTGCAGGAAGCGGGAAAGCGGGGTGGGCCAGCTCTAGACAACCCCCCGCACCCCTCTCCCCATTCACCACCCCCTCAACCGCCCAATTGCACACGATGCCGCCAGTCTCCACCTGCCTGCAACATTTCCTGGAATTTGTGCAGGGCAGGGAGAGCTTTGGTTGTGGTGTTTTTCTTGGGCGTCTCTGTAGGCCTCATCTTCAGAGTGTATCAGAGCGCACTGAGTGTTTATACTATAGGTCAGAACTACACAGTGTTCCCCTGACAGCTCTCCGAAGGGAAGCAGAACTAAGGAAGCCGCAAAGCTTCTGATTGCTTTAGATCTCGGAAGACAGCATTCGGTAGGAGCATCAAGAATAACATCGCTCACTCGCCTTTCCCACTCGAAAAGACAAGGCTGGAAGCTCCGATTCATACTAAGGGATCGCGGGCTGGAATTTATTTTTACAACTAACTGCAAAGCCTCAGTCGTTACCAAAAGACTTCTCTTTGGAAACATCAGACACTGGGCGAGAATTGGTAGGCAGAGAGAAGGAGCCTTCTAGTTCAAGGCGCGGCAAGTTCAGTGAAACTGCAGTCCCAAAGGAGACATGGTTGGAGACACGCCTTCCCTCACGGTCCCCTGAGCACAGCGAGGCAGCCAGGGCCCTAAGATTCCTCCTGCTGAGAGCGGCCTCTCATCTTCAGCGTAAAAGGACAGACGAGACGTTGTAACCAAGAGTAAATACCAGTTGCATCAGAGATGGATGGCCCCTGGAGGATTCTTAGGAAACAAGATGGGATCTGTCCTTCTACTACGCTGAGAAGGCCAGAGGGGCAAGAAGATGCATCTATACGTGACCAGGCTCAGGGAACAGCACCAAAGGGTGTTCGTACCCACTGCCCTGGTGACTACCAAGTGCCTGCCATTGCCACGCTCTGCGCCATGGGCTATGGCATGACAAAGTCCCTCTGCTGTGTCTCGAGGGGACACCAGAGGGGGCGACTGCAGCGCTGTGTCTAGATCTAGAGGCTGTGAGAGGAAGGCATCCTTGAGCTTGAGATCAAGGGATGCTGGAGTGCTTCTGGCAGAAGCCGCAGCAGAGCCACGGGCATACGTTCCTGGGCTGAGAGAGCATGGAGCTCAGGGGCTACCAAAGAGTCGTATCAGGGGGTCCCAAGACAGGCCCGAGACCCAAACTGGCCACCCAGGCCGAGGCCTGTTTCAGCGGGCTGCGTCTGTCATGTGACAGGGGGCTCTCAACAGGGGAGAATCCCAGGAGCAGGTTGGCCAAGTTCAAAGTTCTGGAAATTGGTGACTTTTCGGTGGTCTGATTTGTTGCCAGAGATGAATTCTGATTTTCTGTGTGGTATTTTGGCTGTGATTATTTCTGTACCTCAAGCAGCTGAGTTTCACTCTACTTGGATTTTTTTTTAAACATTCAGATAACTGCATTTTTCACCTGTATATGCTAGATCCCAAGGGCACAATACAACCAACCCTAATAGTCAACCATAGTGAAGTAATTTCCCAGGTTCAACTCTGGTTATGAAAATGACCTTCAGTTATGAAACCAACAGCTGCTGCTTCTTTGGGGGTCACCCAGGCCCCTGATTGGAATTTCTCCTATGCAGTGATTCCCAACACCTGACCATGAAAAAAGTTTTTACCAGTTTGGGATAAAATATAGATGCAAAGGACAATAGTGAACCTTTCATAAAACAAAATGTGTTCTATGTAAAGGCCTGTTCTATCTTCCAAAATATGTCCTACTGGCCAGGCGTGGTGGCTCACGCCTGTAATACCAGCACTCAGGGAGGCCAAGGTAAGAGGACTGCTTGAGACCAGGAGTTTGAGACCAGCCTGGCAACATAGTGAGAGCTTGTCTCTACAAAAAATAAAAAAAAAAAATTAGCCAGGTATGATGATGCCCCTGCAGTCCCAGCTACTCAGGAGGCCGAGGTGGAAGGATCACCTGAGCCCAGGAGGCCGAGGCAGTGATGAGCCATGATCATGCCACTCCACTCCAACCTGGGTGACAGCATGAGACCCCGACTCAAAACAAACAATCACATAAAATACGTCCTCCTTTCTCAAGTGTTATGAGTTCCTTGATTTTATTAAACAATGGCAACATAATTTTTTTCAGTGCCCTCACATAGCAAAATAGTTGCAACCCCAGATCCAGGCAGTGCTTTTGAAATGTGAACTCTAGAACACTGACTTTGAGTCCCTCCACCACCACCTTTCTTATCACACACGGTGGCCACCTGATATCAGTCAGGTGAGGGGAGGGGTACATCTGCATTAGTCAAGACTGACAGTGATCTGGAAAAGTGTCAGAGTAGACAACTGATTATGCGACAACTAGGAAAATGTTGGCCCAGTGTATGACTTAATCACTCACTTCTTCCTGATTACATCTTTGGGATTTAGCATCTTAATGAGAATATTCAGCTCCTCCTTCAGGGTTGCACAGTCACTCACATTTAAATATTGCTAAACAGGACAGGCACTGTAGCTCAAGCCTGTAATCCCAGCACTTTGGGAAGAATGCTTTAGCCCATGAGTTTGACAACAGCCTGGGGAATACAGGGAGGCCCTGTCTCTACAAAAAGTAAAAAAATCAGGCGTGGGGGCGCACGTCTGGAGGCCCAGCTACTCGGGAGACTGAGGAAGAAGGACTGCAGGAGCCCAGGAGGTCGAGGTTACTGTGATCGTGTCACTGCACACCAGCCTGGGCAACAAGAGTGAGATGTGAGAAACTGACTCACACACACACACACACACACACACACACACAATAAAGTCTTTAAAATGTTTTCATTTCCTTGCTCCCAATTTCACCTCTTTATATTGGAGGCTGGAAGCCCACTACTCTGTTGGTGCCAGCAAAATGATTTACGCAGTCTGGGACCCCTGGCCTGGGAGCATCCCCCACGCAAGGACGACGATGAAGCCTGTTGGCGAACACTGGCCAAAAGCTAGGTACTGGCCTGGAAAGTCCTATGTTTGGGTCTCCGCTCACAGCTCAGTCTTCAGTTCCTCACCCAAAAAGTGGGGGCTAGCAACAGTGCCCACTGGCAGAAAGCAGCTGTGTTTGGGACAGCCTTGGTGAAGATTCAATAATGTGAATCCTACTACTGGGAATACAGGAGATTTCCAAAGTAATGGCTTTTTACACAAGGGTCACAGTTACCTGGAAGGCTCCTGTTAATCAACTGGCCCAATCTCGCCCGAGGACGCAGAGCCCATGAGAAGCAGAGCCTGGCCTTGCTTCTGGGTCTCGCCCAGAGTTTTTTCCACATGAGTTCTCTCTGCCTGGGAGTATTTGGTTCTTGATTTTCAAGGTTTTTTTTTTGGCCAGGAAGAACGATTTGCAGTGTTCAAAAGCGTGGTATCGTGTAAGCATTTAACAATGGCACATTCCATACTATAAAAAAATGTAGTCAACCAAAAAACCTGGTAGTTCACTACTTCATCATTTCAGAAGATTTATTGCTGAGCAATCTAAAAAATGTGAATGCATTAAAACCAATGTAACAGAATGTCTTTCATAGCTTGCTAAGATGAGACAGATGAACCGAAGTATTAGGAACACCATATGAAGATGTGCTCACCCCCGTTTCTCTGTACTTCAAAAGTAAGAGGTGCAAAGCACACTCCCCAGGTCAACGACATTTCTCGTTTCTCAGCAGAGATTTCCAAGTCTTTATGCTAATCTCTACAAAGCCCGATAGCTTACAGAGGGTGTGGCTGACAGCAGCAGGACCTGGGGACAGCAACAGAAGGGACAAAAGAGCATCACCAGTAAAACAAAGGAGATACACTTGTTATTTTAAATCAGTAGTTTTATTACAATATGCACGGACACACAATTAGAGAAGGAATGTCCTGACATTTTCTGAGCATTTCACGGAAAGCAAATGTCACTATCCAGGCAGTAGAGTCATCCACACCCTTTCCTAGCAAAAGCTTTTACATGTGACAACCCAAGAAAGCAAAGTTTTTCTTATTCTTGCCTACAAAACTTCTGTCTCAGAAAATAGTTCTTGTGAAGTGAGCTGAGGAAGGAAAGCATTTCCTTCACGATGTCCACAATTCTGCCTCTAGATACCCCCGACCTTCTAACTGACATTTCGTGACACTGCGGATGGCAGCGTGTGCAGGGGCTACACAGGCTGTACTTCCAAGGCCAACTATCAGACTTCACCATAACTGGAAGGAAGGGAGAAACTGAGAAAATTAAGTCCTGCTAAAATGCACAAAGACAAGGAGAAATATCTGGGTGTATTAAAAATGAGATGCTCTTTTCACATAACTCATTTAAAAGGTTACAATTACCATAAACATTTAACTCCATTAAAGATCGCTGGCAATAGCTTGCTTTTTTATCTGCAGAAGGGATCTGCCAGGAGGCAGACTGGGAGGCAAGCGACACACCGTGGGCAGTGGCTCATCTTGGGAAGCAGGCCTCAGGCTCTCTGGAGTTGCACAGGCATTTCTAGATCCATTTGTGAGAGACACTATGGGACCTCGAAAATTTCCCTCTTTCAGCACTCACTGTGACAGTCAGGTGTTTTAATCCCTTTTGTGCCCAAACGCACAAAAGCACTCAAGGAAAAAAAAAAAAAAAACACACGTTAAAATGGCGTTTTGAATAAATTCACTATATATTACATAACTTGGGAACAACAAAGAAAAAAGCCCAAGCATGACTCTTAGTATCTCATATAGAAAAGCACTGCAGGAGAAAACTTTGTTTAAAAACATTAACACTCAAGTGAATATAAACACATTTTTGGTTAATCTGTGTGCTATGTCATCTAGAAATCCTGTCAGAGAGTCTACCAGGTAACTCATTTGGATTTTCATGTCTGAAGAATATCCGTAGAAGAATATACACTGTTGCATATACTTACACATATATGCATATACACATATAAAATTCAGATCATGAAAATTTGTTTTAAATACATATATTTAAAACTTGTACCTCTAAAAATAAATACATTAGCCTCCAATCAGCTAATTCTCAGAGTTCCTTCACAAACCAATCAGAACACAGTTTCTCAACAATGGCAGGTGGCCTATTAGCTGCCCTTTAAGTCCATTATCTATCAGTAAACATTTTAAAATTCAGATGTGTAACAGAAATAACATCCCCAGAACAGATTACAGATAGAATTCTGGCTTTGAAAATAAATGTCTTGATTCCCTTGATATTTAGTTTCTACAAATATCTATGCTTTGCCTCTGCATTTATCTAGCAGTGGGAGAGAATTTTCTAGTGACAGCATTCTAATCCTTGACAAGACCTTCTAATCAAAGGAGTCAGCTGACATTTCTTCGCCGTTTTGTTTGAGGGAACTAACACAACATGGTTTGTATTCGATATCACTCCCATGGATCACAGTGAGTTGTGTGTTTTAGCGTCATTTACAATGTGCTGATACCACTGAGGTAAAGCAGGAGGAGCCCTGGCATTTTTTAAAAAGAAAACTCTCCCAGGAGAACAACTTTTAAGGACGTGGTGGTGTATATCCGAGTTCCACAAAGTAACTGCAAACCACTGTCAGAAGGGACACACTGGATATCTGATATTATAGTCTAAACAACAGAAACAGATGAAAATACTCAAAATATTTCCCTTAGAAACGATGCAATTCACAAAAATGGAGCTTTACTTTTTTACTTTTACATTTCCAAAAAAACTTCCTAAAACGATAGAAACCAGACCAAGTTGTTTAACCCAGTAATACTTAGCAACTTTGTCACTTGTTTTTGAATACAGGGATCTCAGAAATGTAGGAAATCCATGATAAATGATAGCAAGAATGTTTAATGCCATTGCGTACATTTTTTAAAAAGAAAAATTTGCTATAGCTGAAACACAACTTCTAAAAAATACAGTGTTTTACACACTCACAGTTCCAGATCGCTAACTTTATAAATTAAATGAGAAAGTTACCCATATATAAACAAGGCCTCTTTTTCATTGATTTCAATCTTGTTTAAACCTTTGGATATGTCAATCTTCAGATTCCACAAGGTAAGGCTGAGTTTATCAGATATAAATAAAATGTTTAAGTCCATGATGTATTGCAGCACTGAGGAAACTATGCATCAGATATTTACAGGCTGGCTACAATACCTTCCTTTTTTAAAAAAATCCAAATGTGTACCAACATCAAGCCACACTCGTTTTTGAATTTCTCTGGCTACCAAAATGGGGCAACAGCGTTTCTCCTCATTCAGCTTCCCCTGAACCCTGAAGGCAGAGGCAGTACTTAGGTGGAAGGGCGTGGTCTTTTGGGAGGTGGTGGAGGCATGAGCTCCGTGTCAGGGTCCAGGTGCTGCTTTCGCTTCTGTCCCTGAGAAGCTGCCGCACATCTGTCGATGAACTCAAACAGCATCTCCTTGGTGACAGGGTTTGAGATGCTATTGCACACAGCTGTGGACAAAGAGACACGTGTCTCACGTGAGGGTTAATTAAGGCAGCCGACTCACCACACGCTTACGAGAAAGGTTTTCAGCCCAACATGCTAAGCGCTTCCAACTAGCCGACTTGGGTGATGTGCTTCAGATTCAACTAAGCCCCTCCTGCTCCCATGCCCCAAGTAAGTACTTTGCTAGTGGAACTCTTGACTGTACTATTAATTTTAAACCAAAACTTTCAGTATTTGGGTTATAAGCAAGTCTCACTATGGTTTTCTTTCCCTCCAAACCAGTTTTTCTGGGATTTTAACCTAGCACAGTGCACTGCAGTATAGTCTGTATTCAACTAACACTTTTACAGAAAATGTGCACTAACAGTCCTTCAATCTTTCTCTCAGAGAGAAGGTCACTTTGTGGAATGTAAAACAACACGGTTACCATTCCTATGGAATAGGTGGTTTCAGTGTAACTGGCAGGCCTTATTATTTGATCTTCTCTTAAGTGATCCAAATTTAGTGCCAGTCCTTTTCATTGTATTTACCTATTTGGTTTTGAAAGAAAAGACCCTGGCCTAATCATCCCTGCTTTTTGAGATCAGCTCACCTTATCTGAATGTGAATGGCAGTCTAAAGAACCCTAAATCAATGCACACCAGCAATTTTTAAATGGCAAAACCAAAACTGGCCATTTCCACGTCTTCTCATAAGCCTATCATACCAGCATCATCATGATCATCGACTAAGCATTCTAAAAGCACACAATTCCATTGACCTTAATCTTGTTTTTTTCTTTTTCCAACACCACTAAAAACGTAATCTAGAGCAACAACTGCTACTAGTAGTAGCATGCCTCATAAACTTCAATTCAACTGGTGCCGTTCTCCACGAGAAAAACTTGCTATTCTGAATTCTCAAAGCATTCATGTTGTACCCAAAGAAACCTCGGAAGGATGGCATACCAGATTTTGTTTTTTAAATGGTTTTCATTTACTTTCTTCTCCATTGTTTATAAAGCTATTTTGGGAGCTGGAAATTGCATTTTCCCCTGCTAATTTTATCTTTTACCATCTGGCAAACAATGGTTTTTATAGTTTTGAATAGATCTGAAATTATCATGGCTTTTGTTGTTGTTGTTCAATAAATTCAACTTGTAGACAGCCCCGCATCCTGCCCTTTACACTTGTCTTTTGGGCACACGGGCACAAGGATCCCAGTGTGGAGAGGAGACCGACAGGCTGACTGGAGCCAGGGTCCTCAGACAGGATGAGGACCAAACGACGCTATGCCCCATCAAGCAAAACAACAACAACAACAAACACTGCTTGGTTCTAACACCTTAACTCTCTTGTTGTTCATGCAATGAACACGGGTAGGCTGTCATACTCACCCATGGCAGTGTTGTAAGCATTAGGAAAACTTTTGTCTGTTCTCTGTCTCATGAAGACCCAGCTGTTGTTCTCAAATTTGCATTCTATAATTTTGTTGTCATACTGTTTTAGTTCTTTTGTCACCTGTTTTAAAAGAGAATTGAGGAAAATATTTAAATCATTTGAAAAGCTTTTTGCTTCCACTATGTGATAGACACATTAGGAAATGCCAAAAACACCTCACTAATGTGTCAGGCAGAGCTCTTTGTCATCTGAAGTGTCTAATCAAGCTTAACAATATGGTATGCACTCCCTTGTACACGTGTTCATTCATCTGACATTTTATAAATCGTTGTGAAAACGGTTGTCAATATACAGCAATTAAAAGAAGCTAAGCAGAAACCAGACGCTCTGGGCCAAATGCAAATATGTTACACGGGGACCAAGATTTCAATATTGTCCGTGTCTCTATGGCTTTCAGAAATTGAGTATACTGTTTGGGTTTCATCAACTTTCAGAAAGGTCTAACCACCCGGATTTCCATGCCAAAACCTAAGACCATTCCTTTACTAGTTAAAGGGAAAAGTTATACACATAACACAAACACTAGCATCAGATTCAGGCAATGGGCATTCTAGATATTTTGCTTTTCAAGCAGTGATAATTAACCAAAAATCGAATCTTTAGGCTATTTGCCTCTTCAATCTCCAAACAAGTACAAATTGAGAGATGAAGTCACTTCTGACTTGAGTTGGTGGGTTTGTTGGTTTCTTCACCTCAGATGATTGAATATGGATACCCTATCAAAGCTAACAAGTAACCATGGTAACCAACCATAGAGCCTTTTAAAAGATATTTCACTGGGCCGGGAGAATGGTTTTCATAAATAGGAACCTAAGCTTATCTTTGCAGTTTTGAAATCAAATGCCAGTCATGGCAATATTTTAATTCTGTCCTCATCTTTCACAGAGAACAACTTTTCCACACAATATGGCAGATTGCAATCGTTTCACTTCATTAGCATTATTTGAAATGTTCACATATTCACTACCACCTAGGATTATGAAGGAAAGCAAATTTTTTAAAGATGCTTCCAATTCACAGATTAGGCAGTGATGTGTTCATAAAAACTTTCGAATTGTATTCTTTTCCTTAATGAGTACTGCATTTCATTGTACTACTTGTGCTTTCAACAAATTCAATACATTCAGTGATTCTAAAACTAAATTGCCCAAAAAGGTGATGCTCCACTTAGCAAACTTGCTCAATTTATCCTCAATTCATGATTCTAGTCTCGGCTCCCTTGACTTGCTTCCTAGGGACCCACTTCCTTCTGTTTTCGATACATTATACCCAAGCACTGGGCAGCTCATTTTGTTAGGTAACCACATGTGTGTTACACCATATGTACAGTCTAACTGGAATGTGTTTCTAGGCCTTTCAGAGTCTCCATGATCTAATTTCTAAAACGGGGAAAGATCCCAATTTCCCGGGTCACTGGAAGAATAATAGTGAAAGTGCCCGACACACAGCAGACAGTAAGAGTGATAACTGAATATAAAATCAGACAATAAAACATTGCTCTTAAAAACTGTGGTAAAAAAAAACAAAGTTTACCATGTTAACCATTTTTAAGTGTACAGTTCAGCAATGTTAAATATATTCACATGGCTCTGCAACAAATCTCTCGAAACTTCCATCTTGCCACACGGAGGCTACACGCACTAAACACTAATTTCCTCTCCCCCTCCCTTCACCCACAGCTTGGTAACCACCTTACTACTTTTTGTTTCGATGATTCTGACTACGTTAGATACTTCACATGAATAGGAGCAAACAGTGTTTGACCTTTTATGACTGGCTTATTTTGCTTAGCATGCTGTCCCTGAGGTTCATTCATGTAGTATGTGACAGGAGCTCCTTTGTGTTTTAAGGTGCACTCATATCCTGCTGTAATTTATATATCACATTTTCTTTAACCATTCATTTGCTGGCGGACATTTGGGTTGCTTCCACCTCTTAGGTAACGTGGATAATGCTGCTATGAGTGTGGTGATAAAAATAACTTTTCGAGATCCTGCTTAAAGTTCTTTTGGCTATGTACCCAGAAGTGGGATCACTGGACCATATGGTAATTCTATGTTTAATTTTTGGAGGAACCTCCAAGCTGTCTCCCATAATGGGGACACCATTTTACAGTCTTACCAACAGTACGCAAAGGTTCCAACTTCTCTGTACCCTCACCAATACTTGTTATTTTCTGTTCTTTTGATAGTGGCCATTCTGATATGTGCTAGGTAATATTTCATTGTGCTTTTGACCTGTATTTCCCTAATGATTGGTAATACTGAGTATCTTTCCATGTGCTCATTAGTTGTATACCTTCTTCACAGAAATGTTTACTTAAGTCCTTTGCCCATTTTTAAAATTGGGTTACTGGTTTTGTTGTTGAGTTACAGAAGTTCCTTATGTATTCTGGATATCAATCCCTTAACAGATACGTGAATGGCAATTATTTTCTCCCATTTTGTAGGCCCCCTTTTCACTCTATTGATTACTTCCTTTGATGTGCAGAAGTTTTTAAGTTTGGTGTAGTCTCCTTTGCCTGGTTTTTATTTTGCTGCTTGTGATTTTGGTGTCATATCCAAGAAATCATTCCAAATCCAATGTCCTAAGGATTTCCCCTGTTTTCTTCTAGGAGTTTAGTAGTAGTTTTAGATTTCATGTTTAGGTCTTTAATCCATGTTTGAGTTAATTTCTGTAAATGGTGTAAGGCTAAGGGTCCTGTATCATTCTTTTGCCTGTGGATACTGTTTTCCCAGTGTTGCAGGAATTTTGAACTCTTCTGTCAGCTTAAGCCCACGACCAAGAAGATTAAGGAACGCAGACACCAAAAGGAAGAGTGAAAGAAGGAGTTTATTAAGTAACGAAGTTCTCCAGAGAAGAGAGGGGACCCGAAATGGGTAACCCCCGGTGTTAGGAGGGGTTTTTTTTGGAGGGGGCAGGCATTTTTCTCATTTACATCTCACCTGTCCTCTAATTTTTGAGCCTCGATTTTTATCATGTGGTTCCTTGACCAAAGTTACTCCATCTTAAATATTACCCATAAGTATCGCCAAAAAGTCCACCCAGAGGGGTAAAACCTCAATGGTAATGTTATGTTAACAATATTATAATAAGCTATGGTCAAGTTAGGACATTTAGTTAAGCTATTGTGCCTACGCTTAAGCAACAAAAAATCCCTTTTAACAGCATATCCTAGATTGACAGGAAGTTTTTAATCACATGAACCACATTTTAAGCTAACGAATAATGGGGGTGGTGCAGGGGACGTTTTCACAAATGTTAAGTCTCCTCGAGACCCTCCCTCTCTGCCTAATCAGCTTCTAACTCTTCTCTCACCAACAACATTAAAGAGACTGTCCTCCACTGTGGAGTCGTGGCACCTTGTGGAAAATCATTTGGCCATATATACAAGGATTTATTTCTGGGTTCTTCCTGCTGCATTGGTCTATATAGCTACCTTTATACCAGTAATTAAGTATGCCATCTTCGTTACTGCTGCTTGGAAGTATGTGGTCAAATCAGGAAGCGTGAGGTCTCCAAATGTGTTTCTTCTCAAGATTCTTTTGGCTATTCTGGGTTTCCTTGAGATTCTATATATATTTTAGGATAGTGTTTCTATTTCTAAAAAAAATACCATGAGAATTTTAATAGTGTATGAATTTGTAGATCAATTTTGGTAGTATGGATATTAACAATATTAAATCTTCCAACCCCCAAGCACAAAATGTCTTTCTATTTATTTGTATCTCCTTTGATTTCTTTTAGCAAGAAACATTGCTTATTAAAAAAACCCCACAACTTTACAAATAAATTTACTAAAAAAACCATGATGACACAGGAAGGTACTCTTTGTAAACAACTGTCACGAAAATAATGTCGTATGAATTTTACAAGAATGGACTGCCAGTCAACAATGTGCAGTCTGTACTTCTACTGACTAACAATTATGGTCTTTATCATATAACTTATCATTCTTGTGTTCTCAGTTTCAGAATTGCTATAAATTATGTGTTGCTCAATCTGACTACAGCAATTAAGCAAGTATTATTAACTATCTATATATCTGTTTGGTCATGCATTTAAATTCTGGGAAACAGAGCTTTCCAGAAAGCATGCACCTGCTACTACTAACCTAAATGTATTTTCAGAATCAAGTATAGTACATCAGTTTTCATTGATCACACCAGTTATATTCCCAAGACAGACACACCACAAGACTCATTTGGCTAGGTGATAAAATATATTTAACTGATAAAAATAGTATCTCCCATATGTGCACAAACGAAATACAGTTTCCACTAACAGTCGGATCAAAAGAATGACTGGCATAGAGGAGAAAAGTTTAATTTTAGTATCCAAATTCTAGCTTGTTACTATGACAATAATCATCCTTAGCCAATTACAATTTACTAAGACAGGACTCTGTTAGACCTTTTATAATCAATTCTGTTATCCTAGTTTGAGTTAATAAGGGGTTGAAAGTAAAAATAAAATATTTGTAAATCAGGATTTCACATCTGTACTCATAATTACATTGAATTAGTATGGTTTTACTGTTTTTGAAAAAATAAGGAACAACACGGTATGTATACTTTATATTTTAAAAAACTGGTTTCATGTGCCCATCTTATTGAACACCACACTTTCATTTTTTTGAGTCAGAGTCTCACTCTGTTGCCCCGGCTGGAGTGCAGGGGCACCACAACCTCAGCCTCCTGGGCTCAGCCAATCCGTCTGTCTCAGTCTCCTGAGTAGCTGGGACTACAGGCCTGTGCCACCACTCCCAGCTAATTTTTTTATTTTGTAGAGATGAGGCCTCACTACGCTGCCTAGGCTGGTTTCAAACTCCTGGGCTCAAGCAATCCTCCCGCCTCAGCATCCCAAAATACTGGGCTTACAGGCATGAGTCACTGCACCCAGCCTCCACATTTTTATACTATTTGAATCACCAATAATCTGTGGTTAAGAGACTGTCAAATGAAACTGGATCTAGTGCTTCTGAAGATGTTAAAACGAGTAGCTCAGGGGTAATGTCTGGAATGAAGGTTTCAGAACAGAGACGGCAGAATCACAGGTGC